AAAAAAAAGAATAATATTGCATTTAATAAAAATATTATTATTAATAAATATATAAATAAAAAGGTGTATCGTTTGCACAATTTATTTGTTCTATTTTCCCACAGTTTATCCAATAAATTTGTGGTTGGATCCGCGTGTTGTTTTTAATCAAAAATGTCAAAGCAAAATGTTAATAAGAAAAATCATAACAAATTGAAAATTAAATTGATCTAAAAGGTGTTAAATACCTTTTGAACCGACCTTGGATATGAGTATAAAAAAAATATATATATATATATAAAAAGCAATCACGTTTGATTGATTACCTGTGGACAGACGAGTCATTCCAGAATTTAATTCCTGTTTTTTTTTCGAAAGAAGACCACCATAACTTGACAGTAATTGTAAATATGATGTAGGCGTTACGTAATTATGACGATTCAATTCCTAAAAAGTCCAAAATAATTCGTTTATTTTATTTATTAATCAATATAATATAAAACTATACAAGGATGGATTAAATTTGTTTAAAGAAACATTTAATAAAATCCATGATAATTTATTTATTCATTTTTGAGAATGTATTTTTCAAATTTTAGAAAATAATCGGATCCCGCGTGTTATCGAATCGCGTTTAAATGAAATTATTATAAAGAAATTTATTTTAAATGTCAACACAAAATTAAACGATCTAGTCCGAGTGCATTGATTTAATAAAAAATTTTCAAAATATTCTATCGCTTATGATTTATCGATACAAATTATTTATCACACAAAACACAATTATATATGAATTAAATTGTTTTTTTGTTTTTTTTTTTGTAAATGTCATACGTGAAAAATAAAATATTTCTATTAAAATAAGAAAAAAAAAAGAAATAAAATAACCAAAGATAAATGWGTAAATGTTTTCGTTCAAACGTTCCACCTTGTATAGTACGATATTATTTTCTATTTTTTGTTTTTTTTTCTGTTTTGTAAATTCACCATTAAAAAACGATCACTGGCTTTAATCACGCTAGAGTGCATAAATTGACAAGTCTTCACAATTGACTTCAAAACCGACTCATTAATGGATTCATCTTTAATATCCGCAAGGAAGTGCATTGCAACGGTCTAAAACGAGAGAAAGAGAGAGATAGAGATAGAGAGAGAGAGAGAGAGAGAGAGAGAAAAAGAAAAAAAAACCACGAAATATTTCATCAAATAAAATGTATCAACTTTGTAACACGAAAAATATCAAAGCTTGACAAGTCTTTGCTTCGAAATATTTTCCTACGAATTTGTTCACCAATAAAAACATGCCGCGATAAATATTTTTGTTTTTTTTTTTTCTTCAAAGGTTCGTCAAAAGTTTTATTACTTTTATCTTTATAAAATTCTTTTATAGTGTAAGTAATAGTGTAGTATATAAAAAAAAAAAAAAAAAAGAAAAGAAAAAGAAAAGAAAGCTTTAATAATAGAAAAAATATAAACGTTATACGAATTTTTTATCAAAGGTTTACCTTATATACGATTTTTTTCAGTTCAAATTTACAAATCTTTTGAACTTTCTTCTTTTTCTTTTTCTTTTTATACGTTTAAATAACATTAATAAATATACTATTGAAAACAAGTCAGAAGCATACAAATCATTCGATTTCTAACTTCATCGTTCACGTACGCGAATTTTTTATTCGTTTCGTATCAATAATTTTACAGACTAGAAGACAAAAATGACTCGATATTCCTTTATAGTGAACTTCTCGTAAGATTGCAAAGAATTTTTGTAAACCTTTCATGATATTTCCTATCACGCATATTATAACGTTCGTGTATATCTATATACAAAAATAGCATATTTTCAATAATTTTTTAATTCTATATAAAAAATGGAATTCTTATTCAAACTTTTTATAGTATTTAAGATACATATATAAAGAACATTTTGTGAAATTTTGGTTGAAAAATATTTTAAACTCAGCCATTGCGATGTCATTTTCGGTGACCCCACCGAAAAAAAGTGTTTTCGCATTGACAGCACAACTTATAAACGGTGGGGGTTTTTCTGTTGAAAAAAATAAGGTCTTTTAGTGAATACTTAAAACTAGAAATTGGACGAAGGAAAAAGAAAAAAATTGAAATTTGGAAGTTTGGCAACGTTTTTAGCAAGAACATTCAAATTTCGCTACAATTTGCACCACATTTTGGTTTCTTAAAATTCGATTTTATAAAAAAAAAACGAAGGATTTTCGTCCAAGTCCTTGTTAATAGTATTACGAAGACGTGTAGCAAATTTCATGAAAATCGGTTGAATAGTTTTCGAGAAATCTTGACAACCGTCTTTAGAAAAAGCGTTTTGAGAAAAACGCGTTTAAAGATTTGAGTGCTTCTCAAGGCTCTATCTTTGAAACTACTACTCCTATCGACTTCAAAATTCAATACAATATTCTAGATGAGTTGTAGAATTTAAAAAGATTAAAAAAAAAGAAAATTCGTTTGAAAGTTCCAAACCCATGTAACCCCTTAAAATAAACTAAAATCTTATCATATTTTGATCTTATGTGAATATTCACATTTAAATGAACATTTCAAAGGTATGCACATAACATTTTTTCAAAAATAAAATGTACTTATTATTTGTTATTTTTCTTCATTTCGAAGGGAAACAATTTTTGAACTGACGTTAATGATACCAATTTTATGGAATTACCTATTACGCTTAAAAAAAAATTATTAATATTATATAAAAATTGTGAATAAGTGTATGAATATAATTCTCATAATTTTGATCTATGTTTTATAAGTGTAACAAAAAATTAAGGAATTCAAACCTGTAGAGCTGAATCCGGCCAGGGACAGAACCAATCGATCGTACAGCAATTCACTAGAGCAGGAAATTGCCTAATGCGAGACCGGAATAATTCACCGATGGGACTGTAAATTATCAACAGAGGCATCCACGATAGAATTAATTAACAAAAATTATACTAAATAAAAGGAAATATCATCCAAATGAAAATCAACTTCTAAACATAATCGGGGATTTTGTATTTGAAATTTTCTACATTTTATGTTATTATTTTTTTTTTTCCCCCCTTTAACTTCACATTATTATTATTTCCTAATAATGATATATATATAAAAAAAAACTAACATTTAATTTTTATTTTACTTTAATTATCTCAAATGTACCAAACTTTTGGATTTTATTAATATTTCTTTCGTTTTTATTTTTAAATGTGAATTTTAATAGTAAATATATATATTTTTTTTTCTACGATATACATATTTTTCTATGGCAATTATTTAATGAGAATAAAATTAGAAAATATTTTTAATAAATTTGATAAGGTTACAACACGATATGACGTAACAGTAAAAATCTAAAAACGTGTATACACTAGAAGGCAAAAATTATTCCGCGAATACATTCCTAGATATATATTAAAGAGTCAAACGAGCTAATTCAAGGGTTAGTATAAACATATATGTATATATATATATATACATATACATGTATATACATACTCAAGAAAATCAATATACGTTCTAATCAAACGATCTCTATTCAATTCTTCTATCATCACTCATTCATAGGTGTAGGTCACATTATATCGTATTCATCTTTATCTATCTATAGCCACATGCAACTTTTATATATATATATATACACTTATTTTATTTATTATTTATTATTATATATACGAGTAACTTCTGTGGAGATATTGGAATTATTTGAATACAAAATGTGACTATAATTATAAAACAAAATTAAATAAATATGAATATTTTTCATTGTTTGTGTGTTCCTTATTATTTATTTCTAAACTTGATCTTATATATTATGAAACATCCTTGTATATTGTATATTTGGTTACCCGAAAAGTTTTCGTGACGATTTTGATAATAATCTATTCTACGTTAAAAATATAATAATTAACAAAAACTTTTTTGGAAAAACAATAAAACATAATTATTCGAACGTAGGAATTTTATAATATAGTATATAAAGCACAAACAATTTTCCTGTTTTTCTATTACCATTTTTTAGTTAATAAAATATTTCTTTTCTTTCACATACATTTCAATATGTAGTAGTATAAGTTTTCTTTTCTATACCAATTGAATGTGAATTGTAAATGGGTACGATATCAATTTTCATATTGAAGCAATGAAAATGCTAATGGTATTTGAAAAATACGAAACGTTCGAATATTAGATTATTATTGAATACTTAAAAAAGTTTTTACTATATTATAATGATCGATATGATATAAAACTTATAGATTTTCTTGAGAAAAAATGATATATAAATGAATTTTGAAAAATGTATATTAACATACCTCATTGTAATAATATTATGTAAATTGTTTTTCACTACTTTCAAATAAGTTGAGAAAAGGTTACTCCTATTGATTTGTAGTCCAGCTTCTTGAACCGGACCACGCATGACTTGAAATATTCTTTCCATTTCCTCCGAACTGTATATATTTGGTACGTCGCCATTATTTAATATGTTATTTAAATCCTCCAACATGGAGTCGCTTTTTATCTGGAAAAAAAAAAAAACAAAAAATTAACGATCAAATTTTAGACGTATACAACGATAACGTTGTCGGTAAACGAGTTAAATCGATAAATGAATTTTTTTTTTTACCTGAGTATCCGAAAATAAAAATACCATTATTTGATTTTCTAATCCTGCTTTTAGCATCATACTTTTTATATCCTCACGCCAGTCATGATTAGAATATGCTTTACTTAATTTTATTTGAAAATAATTATATTCACGTATATACGAGGAAAGCTTTGTTAAACTTTGCCGACCTGGAAATAATTATGAAAAATATAACACCGATAAATTAATTTAATTTATTTATTTATTGAATTATATATATGAATTGATTTGGTTGAAAAACAAAGTTGCATGTTAAGTATATGTTTTAATGTTGGAATTTGAAAATAATCAAAATTTATCCGAGATTTGAATATTTGTTTTGAAATGATTCAAATTTATGATTTAACATTTTAAACAAACACTTTGTTTAATTTTAATTTAAATATTTAAAGAATAACATTTAAGGTTTAATGTTCTTTTCTTTTATCTTTCCTTTAATATAATTAGATATTAAGATTTAATATTGTAATAAAAAATAATTGATTAATTATAATTTTAAATACCTGATCCACCCATGCCCAATAAAAGTCCATTTCCTCGGGGTTGTCGAAGTATACGAATAATTCTACAAATATGATCTAAAGCATCTCGAAAGAATACTAATTTCATTGGTGCAGTTGTCGAATTGTTATAATCTTCCAAATGTTCAATCACAATTTGTTTCATCTGTAATCAAAAAATTGTATTCAAAATTTATTTTTTCTTTTATTTTTGTTTCTTTTTTTAAAACAATTACCTTACGAATATTAGTAATTCGTTCGTATTGTCCAGCAGTATTAGAAATATCACCGTAAAACAATATTTTATTTTTAACGAGATCTGTTAAATCGTAATCAAACTGTTCCTTTAAAGTGTCCTGTAAAAGTTTGCTGAACCAATTCCGATCGTCGTCGTTAATCAAACGATCGCTAAATACACGAGTATTTTCATGATACCATAAAAGAAATAATTTTTCGTAAGACTGCAAAAGAAAACAAAGAAAAAGAAAAAAAGATGTAGAAATATCATAAAAATTCGAGTGTGTTAATTAATAACAGACAAATACTTGCATTTATTTTCGTAGGATCAGCCATAAGAATCCCTTGAAATACTTTACTAAGATCTCTCAGATTATACGTGTAATGTGATTTGTCAGGTGTTGGTAATAATTCTTTACATATTGTCCCAAATACATTCAATGTAACATTAACCATAGGTTTTAATAAAGTTAAATAAGTTGGTGTTCTAGATAGCCAAGATTCTAAAATAATTCCAAAGATGTTCGCCTAATGTAAAAATGAAAAGTTCAACGTTTCAAAATGAAATTATATTGAAAAATATTCGACGTGAATTTTATTTTACTTTAAAATATACGATGCATGTGTATGATATATATATATATTATATTTTCTATTGTTATTCGTATAGAAAATATTAAAATGTAAAATGTGAATGAAAAGAAAAGAAACAGTATGAATTGAATCTTTCCCTTCAACCTGAGCTAACCTTGAATACATTAAATTGTCTCGCTTAGTAACCTCCCAACCATCCCCTTAACCCCTTCCCCATAGACTTTATGACTCTCATAAAGCTAAATCCTTTGCAATCCAAGCCATTATCACCGAGGCAATATTAATAATTAAAGCAAAGTGTCCAAGTTATTTGACGTGTATGCTTATATTAATGTTAATTAAACTATAAAGATTTGTTAATAATTCATATTAAAACACACACTGTGCATATGCTTGATATAGTTGTTTGTATATTATTGATAGTTTCAAAAATTATCGATCAAAATGTATTTATTAATATATGTTGACACGTTATGAAATATTATTGCAATTTTAAATATCAATTTTTTTTTAAATAGAAAATATATCATTAATATACTCTAGTGTATTTATTTATAATTAAATGTATCAAAATTAATTAGTACAATTTTTGTTGTTGAGATTCTATTCAAATGCGGTTAAATCAAAAAATAAAAACTCTAATAAAATTAATAAAAAATTATAAATAACTCTACTA